AAGGCCCCTGCCCCACTAGGTTCTTATCTGAATGGCAGGGCTCATTGATAGGTTTAAATTCGAACTAACTGAACTTGAGTTCAATCTCAGATCTTTTTTGCTAATGTTTGGAGGTATGGCTATATGGCAGTGCCAACTGGACCACTTGCAGCCCTTCTATTCTCTTTGCCCTTTCCGGTGCGCCTATTTGACAGATTTGGAGCAAGTTGACGTTCCGGTCGACTGTAAGAATGACCTTTCCACGAGCTAGGTGTCCATGTGTGTGTGAAAGACCAAACTCTCCGATAACACGTCACTGTTCAGTCATCTTAGTTACAAGTTTCCTTATTTTCCCAACGTATTATCTGTTATATTTGCGGAACGGGTTCCGTGTGTTAGAGGTCATCTCTTCTCCCACGCCACGAAAGTGACGAAACACTACTATCTACTGTTTCTCAGTTAAGTAGCTATATTTTTAACTTTTCATTTTTCAATTGTCCAGATTTTCAACGAGAAACTGCCTTGGCTGAGGTACAACAAGCCCAACCTGCCGCGGGCGGAACTTGAGAAAATCAACAAACACGTCTCTTGAGCCATTTCTTTCTTCCTCCCCATTTCGACCTTCCTCATCATCATCGTGTCCAACGCTGCGATCAATTCCATTGCGCTTTCCTTCCCCCCCCCTTTTCAACCGCACTTCACACCCCACGTCATTCATCGTAACTCGGCTGTATCGGGGCAGCACACGCGGTGCCATGCGTCGACTGTCGGTGTCATTATTCGCACGCCTTCCCGAACACACTGTTTCAACGTTAACTCGTAGAGCCAAAATTCTCTGGAAATTCCAACCTTGCGTGCTCTCACATGACCTCTGCTACGTGGCCCCTCAAGTTATCTCTCTCAAGGTCGTCTCGGAGACGTTCATGAGGCCCCATCTTATCTCGCCTTAGGCCCCTCCCCCCTCTATTACCCAGACAAACAGATGTTTGTGCACTTATTTTTTCGAACGAAAAACGCAGGAGGGGGGCATGCAGGACCAGTAATCATCGCAAACGCACGCATCCTCCGTCGAGCTCCATTTTGTGTGCATCTAAAGTCCTCTTTTTTGTAAATTATCCTTCCTCCTTATCCTCAGCGCCCTCTGTCGGGGCGGGGAGGTTGTCGTGAGAAGTGTGTCTACTCACCCTCCTGTCTTGACGCTGTCAGTACTTATCGATTTCATCTGTCGATGCAACCCTTTCCTCTTTTTTTCCTTCTCTTCTTCTAACGCGTTATGGAGGACCATTTTCCATATTTTGTGGGCTTCGTACAAGGCCGTTTGAACGGTCTGCGCGGACTCAGCTAAATCCAACAAGCCGTACACTGCTTGTTGTCAGTAGAAGTGAATAGGCAACTCCCAGGAACTTCAGAAGATGCGATCCTTGGAGAAAGTAGCTTACTTTTTTGACGCCTCAGATTCTCACTCGAACCCAGCATCAGTAACAGTCTCAGGAAAGGGGCAGTAGAGGAACAGGGAGCGCAGTATTTGAAAGACGCAATTTTCATGCCATCCCTTACCTTCTATAATTAGCCATGCCCTCTTTCATCGCTAGGGGCTTCAATTGGTGCGATGATGGCTTAGTAGTCCGCAGCTGAGTCGTTAATCGGCGTGATCCCATCGCCGTTGCCTACGCTTTTGTGGTGATTATTCGGCAGTCTGGTCCGCTTTCACTGGAAATGTTGATCGCCCGTGCCCTTCACGCATATCTAGTTCCCTTGCCCAGACAAAGTCTCGACACAGAATACGGAGTCTAGGGGTCATTGCCCTTGCTGATTGACTGCGCGTCGGATAAACATGACTCAAGCAGCTCGCTGTTGCAACTTGAAGGCGTGGCCGGGTCCCTTCGAATGAGCTGGCGTCATTGCTCCCCACTGCTGCCGCATGTTCTGTCACCCGCGTCTCCGTCACCCTTATCCGAAACCGTCTCTCGTCATGAGTCCGAGTGGAAATCTGAAACTCCACGCCAGCGAACGTCTTGTTCATGCGTTCGTGCATTCTTCTGACACTGTTTTATCTTGACCGGTTTGCAAAAACGACCAAGACCAAGTTTGTGGCATTAAAATACTTGTGGTTGTGTGCTCCTAGGATGCGGGTCTCGTCAAGTTCGCGCAGAGTGCGCGAAATACCACCTTCTACGGGTAGCACACCATGGTGGAATTCTCCACCTGTCCTTACAGCACACCTATTCCAGCTTTTACGTTTTAAGAAGATGCCATACTAACAGCACAGGTACTAGCCAAAAGCCCATACACGCGTGTTTCGCCGATGTTTTGCCGCTGCATGGCGCAGCTGCGAGGGGTTCGGATCGTCAGTGGGTCCCCTAGCATTCCCCGTGTGTTTTCTGGTAAATACTCAAATTTAGAAATTGTCGCTTCTTAATTTCCTGAGAAATTATCTACGAAGTTAGAATAGTTCAGTTTATTCAAGGTCTATAGGCCGGCCTTGTAAAACCAGTCAGCCTGAAACATAATTTTATATTTCAGTTACATCAGGATGCCGGCTTTCGATGGAATTTCCTTCCCGCTGCATCCACAAACCACACTGTAAACGACGACTCCTTAGGTAGCGTAAATTTTGTCATCGATTTTCGATGCCCCTAAAATTCCAATTATATTTCATAGAAAATAAGCATAAAAATACTTATTCTTTCGCTCATTCGATAGACAATTACCTCGTCTCCCAATCTTATACTCGAATGATGGGTATAATTCGGTTTTCAAAAACTTTTCCAATTCCCGAATAATTTTGAACCCGCTCTACCGTCACAGTTAGACTTAGGCTTTCCAAACTACAATTCTGACTTCTAGCCCAGGCAGGCCTGAAGGTATTCTCGTTGCGTGGTCTGTACAGAGACGTCGAAACACGAATGCTTACGCGCACTGACGCGTCCCTGACCATCGGGATGCGGCCAAACTTCCACCTTTTCCTAAATTCCAACTATCAACTCAAGCTTAATTAGCAGCGCGCGGTTCGTCCCAAGAGCGCTTCATCGATATGAACCCATGGCAATTTTTATCTAATCGGTTCGGGAAGGTTTCTTGAAACAACCGGTGCAGAACTTACGCCGGGCAGACAGATGGATTCTCGTGTGTCAGCAATATTCCTCACAACGGTGAAAACTTAAAAATCTGGTACACAATTAGAAGGTTTGGGCGCATTAAAAGCAGTCGGAAAATCATCAGGAGCCTTCAGAGGCGAGGGTAGGAGGCAGTAGGTCACATTTTATTAACCACACAGTTATTGGAAAGAAGGGGAGATAGCCAAATGTCCACGGCAAAGCAAAGACAAGTTTATTTTCCAGGCAGACGGAAATAAAATGGATATTGAAGTGATATAGAAGTAGAACGGTGCGACGGAAGGTCAGGTAATCTCGAAGGCGGCCGTGGGGACGGAAATCACCGGTCCACGTACACTAGACGTCATTCGGTGAGGCAGCCAGTGCCAGACACAGACGCTGGTAGTCGCCGGAGGTGTCATCCATAATCCACTGCTCAAGTGACTGCCCGTTTATTTCCTCAAACTTGCGTTTCACGCTCTCCAGGTCGAGCTAAACGCAGATAAACGGGATGTTTGTTAACCAGTCTACTCATGCTATTTCAGTAGCAATATTGTGTGTGGGGAATACGCTTACGTCGGAGCGAAGCACCAACTGCCGCATTAGCATGGAATCGCGAGTGCCGGCGCCGGCCATAGAGGCCCGAAGAGTATCAGAAATGAACTGAGGTCGATCCAAGGCGTAGGTCACTGATTAAAGAAAATTAAGCTGATAGTTTCCAGTAGGCGTGCTTTAAAATGTAACAGATTTATATGTATTTAGGTACTAGTGTTGCTTAGAAAAAGAAGCAAAGTACGAATCGCGTGCATCTACGAAACCTTTAAAAGACTCCCCGCTCGGCAATCCAAGGAAGTCTTTACTGGCGGGTAAGCAGATGTCTATGATGTGAACTTACGAACTGCAAGCAGAAGTTCCCGGAAGTCTCCCGATGTTTCGTTTTTGATTGCATCGTACAGGGATCTTCCGTAAAGCTTTTGAGGAAAAAGAGGAGGGGATGCGGTAAATTGAATTACTCTTCACGGCGAGTCATAAAGTAGACCGCTTAGATTTTTTTACTTGCGTTCCCTACGCTTTAACTTACACTGGCCTTCACAAGTAGTTCACTGTCAGAAGAAAAATTGACTCCTTAGGCCTTATCCACTCAAATCTAGCGTCTAGCGCGTTTCCGAAGAGAGGGTCATACGGATGGAACGACTGGGTGCCTAGCCAGAGTCTATTTCAACAGAATGCTGCTGATTTTGGTCGGGCAACAACCGATCAGTTGGGAATCGGCAACTAAAATAAAGTCAACAAGGCTGTCTAGGTTGCGTAAAAGGTGCTGGCTAACGACTCCAGCTTTGACATATACCGACAACGACAGAGACGACGGGCAGCCAACCCCGTCATGCATGCGTAAAAGAGGTTTGTCTTAGTTATGCGGTTACTATGGCCAAATTTGGACCTGATAACGCAACAAATCGACAGAATGCATCAGTCGAACACAATTTCGGTAGTGTTCACTTGTCACACAAATCTCTTTTTAGAGTTGCGAAAATTCCCATAGCAGTAATCAGAAGACGAGTTGGCGAGCATACGTAGCTTTCGATAAATTCTCGTCGGGCCAATACAGTTATATAGGAACGGGGTAGAAGTAAAACATGCAAGCCATAAGAGAAGTCGATAAAAGTACTCCTTAAACAAAGGCGGGGTGGGGGACTGTGGGGGAGGGGGTGGGGGTAGTAATAGTCATTGTCAGGGCCGGAGTGAGAGCGCAAGTGCGCGGGGGGAGTTGCACCGTTAGTCAGCCGTCGACCACTGTAGGCGCGGAGCCTGAACGTGGTTCTTCTGAGCGCATAAGGTTGGCTTTCGTAACCTAATGGCGGCCGCTTCCGCTGTCGCTAACAGGCGCTGGCCTAGTAGCTTAGGGTAGCTCGATGGGACCTTATAAATCACACGAAAAGCTTCGTTGGGGTCCACACGATGTCCGGAATCGACGACATGCGCGAGAATGGCGCTGCTTATACTCCTCGTTTCGCCTTTTCCTAGCCATGCCGGGAGGTGTTCGCGTATTCTTTTGGATAAGCGCCGACTCGTGCGACCAATATAACCTGCTCCACAGGAGCAAGTGAAGGAGTATATGCACATTGAGGTGGTCTGCGGTGGCAACTTATCCTTACCTTCTCCGCGTAAAATAGGGTTAGTAGAGAATGATATTTGAACCCTTGCTGCTGGGAAGGTTCGCGAGACAGCTTGATCAAGGCGTCTCCTAAGGAGTTCACTCGTCGCGTCCCCTTGGAAAGGGACTTTGAGGAACAAAGTTTTCTTTTCAGCGGTCGGTGTGGCGGGTTTGGCCGGTCTTTCGGCAATGTTTTTTGCAATGAACCTGCCAGGATACCCGTTTTCTCGAAGGAAGTCCTGGATTTTTCTGAGCTCCTCCTCGATGCTATCTGTCGAGTAAATTTTTCTTGCTCTTTGTGCCAGACATCGGACTAGATTTCGTTTTTGTTGGTGGGGTACGAAACTGGCAAAGTTCGTGTATTGTCCAGACCAGGTTTTCTTCCGATAGACGCTTCTTCGGACACTGCCGTCAGGTCTCCTGCTTAGAAGAACATCTAAGAAAGGGAGCGAACCGGCCGTTTCGATCTCCAGCGTGAATTTGATCGACGGATGTGCCTGATTTGCCGCATCTAAGAGGCTAGCTACGTCGGTTTCTGCCGTGGCAATTGCAAATATATCATCAACGTAGCGACCGTAATGTTTAAGCTTATCGATCTGATCGCTTAGTTGGAATCGCTCTAATTTGCCCATGAAGACATCTGCTAGGAGAGGTCCAACTCCGACGCATTTTGGTAGACAACCTCACTTCGCCTCACTGTTTACGTCCTGCCTTCCAGCGCTGGACGTGAAGCCGATATTCGACAGTTTGACCGTCGTTACCGACGATGCCCGCCGTGTGCTCCACTGAAAGGTGACGCAGACACAGCGACTTGCGCGTGAACTAGCTTAGTGAATGTAGACCTCCACAGCATCTACCACACTCTCTTCTCCTCCCCATCGGGACCCGCTGTCAAGACAGAGTCAAAAGGACTAGAGGCGGGGGACACAAGTGGAGCCTGCACCTTGGCGTTCCACTCCAAACCCCCTGGTCCACACAGCAAATGACCAGGTCTTTTGACCAACAAAGACAACACCCCAATAGTGGTCGGGAGAACGGGGATGAATGGGCAGCCATGCCCACCGCCTGTATACCCAGCGGGAGCGCCAACTCATCTACTGGCAGGGAACCAGGTGTTAGGGAACTGCCAGCGCATAACAGACTGCGAGGGCCATGGTTTGCTGATAGTGGCATAGCACACGCTTTCAGACCTTTTGACCGGTCGATATCCAATTACATGTGCTAACGCATCGGCTTGAAGAGAGGTAGTCGAAAACATACAATTACCGAGCTTGTTGCCTAAAAAATGCTTAGAAGCATTAATGAGAGTCCAGTCAAGTGATGTGTTAGAAGAATCATGATAGTTAACCGCTATGTGAAAGTTCAGATCGAGATAAACGCTGTTATAGCATATGGCAGAGGCAGTAAACGGGGCCTGATGAGCTCTGGGCTACTTTGTGGTTTTGGTACATTCTGTCGCTCCGACTACTACTACTACTGCTACGACCAATACTACTACTGCTATAACCACTTCTGCTACAACTTCTAATATAACAGTTGCCCCTAAGGCGATTGGTACTGATAGTAATATTACTAGTAGCACCACTGCTATCACTAGTAATGCAGCCAATGTTACTGCACCCATCGATGCCACCACTGTTACCATTACTATTAAGGGTGCTACAACTTCTATCACTAACATCACTGCCGCTGATATCACCAATGATACTACTACTACTACTACTATTACTACTTTTACTATCATCATGACTTCTACTGCGCTACAAATACTATTGCTACTAACACTACTATCAACTTCATTAGCACTGGTGATACTACTATCGCCAGTACTGACACGACTGCTAATACCATTACTGCTTGCACTAATACCGACAGTTCGACCATTGTGACCGAGGATGTCCACCGTGTGCTCCACAGAAGGGTGAAGCAGGGACAGTGGCTTGCACGTGATTTCTTTTACAGTGACGGTAGGCTTGCGCAGCATCTGTTGCACTCTCTCCTCCTCCTACCCCATCTAGATCCGGTGTAGAGACAAAATAAAAAATTACTGGAGGCAGGTGAGGACGCAGGTGGCTGACACGGCGAAAACCCGCACCCAGTCGTACCCCCACACTCGCTGGTCCACAAAGTACACAAATAACAGAATTCTATGCCAAAAAGAAAACGAGGACGCCTCGCATCCCAATCGACGCGGCCTGGGCCTGCACCTTGGTGTGCCATCACACCCCAACGCTGACATTTGCCATGGGCGCGCGCTTCCCCATAACACCTGCTGGACTCCAACCCAGTTCCCATGTTGGTGCAGCCAATCTACCGCGCGGCCCGTTCTACGGACAAATGCATTAATTCCACCAATAATGACATCACCATAACCACCACCACCAGTAATGCTACTATTAATATCAATGGCATAACCATTAACTTTCGAAAAACCAAACGACTAGTGAGGTTTCACCTCTTCGGTAAATCCGATGTTACAGGAAGAGGAAAATTCAAACGAACCCGCTTGTAGGCTTCGTTGGTGGCGTTCAGCTGCCAAAGGGTCCGGCTGAGGATTGGTCGCATAAAACGCTTCTCGTTGGTTCCGGGTCGTCTGTCGAGCCAAAAAAGCCACACCACTGTAAGTCATTAAGGCCTGAATCTGAAAAGATCTTCTTATGGGGTAAACTGGTTTAAAAAGTTCTTTGCACTCCTGTGATCTGACGACTGGCGCTTGGTTGCCTATGTTGTTGCCATAGGTCCGTGCTCGTGGCCCAAGCGTTTGGTCTGTCACTTGCGTTTATCCCCTCCGATCTGCATTCTGCCCAAGTACGGGTCGTTGGTCTCTAATTGAATAACGGATCCCTTTCTTGACCTACCTGCAGCAGTTCTTTCGAGTCCCCAGACAGCGCCTGAGCCATACAGGCGACGCATGAGATCTAATCGAAGCACGCTATAGCACTGTCGGTAGTCAATGTTCAAATCCTGCCTCATTTTGGGCTTCAGAGTCATATAGATTTCCAAGAAACTGCACTGCCATTCAAAGAACTTTTTATTAAGTCCCCCTGTGGCGTGCATATTATAGCAGAGTATGACTTATTATTAACTAATCATAATGAAAACGATAAAATAAAACAAGAGAGAGAGAGAGAGAGAATAAAAAAACTCAAAAGGTGCCGGTGTTTGTCTGATAGGTGCACACACGCGTACACTCTGTCAACAGTGTCTGTGACCATACAGTGAGTGACCTAATTCGCGAAAAATTGGGACGTGCGTGGTGCTGCTTATGCAGATAAGAGAGGAAAGACAAGAACTCCCAGGCACAAAACGGAACGAGTGTGTCCCGTGACTCGATCCGTGAGACTCCTTCTACTCACCCAGTTTGTACACCCGGAGGACAGAGTTGGCTATTTGGATAAAAAAGGAGTCATCTATAAGATTCCGTGCGGCACCAACATATCTCGCATTGCAATTAAGGGATGGTATGCTGTAGACCACCGCCGCTGTAAGCATATTTAGCATCCGCTAGGGAAACTGACTCAGAACTCTGAGGGTGCGGCATGAAACCTACGAACTCTGTGCCTCGAGGTGAGACCTTTAAATCACTCATGCGATAGCAGGTGAAGCATGCAGGGGAGGATGAGCTTGCTGCGCAGTCTCAAAAAGCCATCATCTCATAATGATCCAAGTCGTCATTTCAATTGCTAAGGTTTCCAGTCAACGGCTACGCTATAAACGTTTGACGTTTTGGAAATCACAGTTGCCGTCTTGCAAGACCCCAGCAATCTGTTTGTTAGAGCACTATTACCGACGAAGACAGAGGAGACTGGAATGGTCATTTCTGACTAATTATAGCCATCGTCAGCCAGTCAAAGTCAATCCCGAGGTGTGTAACACCTGGGGCTCGATTCCGTAGGCCGTTTGTTAGAAGTCCAACGCCCCCAATGGTAGAGCGTCCGTCTGCCGATCGCAACTGACAAGATAATGAGCCTGCGGGTCGGTGGTTGGAGGCGTTAGACTTCAACCAACAGGTCTCGTGATCCAGCTCCAGGCGTTCCGCACTTAAAGGCAGGGTATGACTGACTCCTGCCATTACTTGACATTGAATGCACAAAAGCACACAGAAATATATAGGGAGAGAGGCGACTAAGTAGTTCCTTGAGCGCCTTATATTATCGATGCATACTACTGAATAAAGCGGGCATCAGTAAACATATGAACCGAAATATTTCTGCATCAAGAGTCACCACCTCGCATTGTCAAAAGGTTTCGTTGATGAACTCGACGACGCTTGACTCGATGCTGATTGGCTAATAATTCAGAAATGACTATTCCCTTCTACCACGTCTTTTTAGGCATTTTTTCTAGTTTTATTCAAGCATTTAAGAAAAGGTACCCACAGAGGCATAAATTTACGCGAATTTCCTCCGCAGGCAAACTCCAGTCGTCATCTTTGCCAGCAGTCATCTTCATTCTTCGGCACCACAAGCATGAAGGGGTTTCTCCTTGAAACAACCTAAACTGACTGAAGTATAGAACTCCGATTTTAACCCTTCTCTAAAGCTTTTCTCAGAACGAGGATGTTTTTTTAAAAAAAATACCGGAAGAATGCAAGAGCCTGGCCGATAAAATGAACGGCAAATAACAAAACGAACTAATACAGCACTCTTGTCAGTCTTGTCGGAAATGCTAAGTATAAAATTTAATCAACCGGAGATTACTCGTAACAAGCTTGTGTGCGTAAAAGTTCTACTGTTTGTCTCACTGTACCTAAATGCTCGGGAGAAATTACAATTCTTATCCACTTTAGGGGGTCAATTTTGGATCCGCAAAGCCAATACTGTACGCTCCAGCAGGGACTTGGGCGTTTAAAAGCAAGCAACCAAGATCACATTGAATGTAAAGAACATACGTACTCGAATATCGGCTTTGATATGGACAGTAAGAACATTAACGAAGACTATTCAAATGCAGTCCTATAGATGA